TGCCATAGCTATAGTAGCATGTGTGTGTGTGTGTGTTGCGTGTAGAGTGTTGCGTGTGGGACATCCAGGGTGATCCAGAGTGCGAACAGTGAGTTGTGTGGGCGCTCAGTCGCCATAGCCAGTTGAAGAGAACTCCTACCTGGTTACGATATCTTGAGTACTGTGTGGGCGCATGTCGCCAGTTTGCTGTTTTGCTGTTTGCATGCATGACAAGTGTGAAGAAGTCGAGTCTGAATGCAATACTACACTTGATCTTAGCCAAAAGGCCGAGAGTGTTCTTTTTTTTTTCCCTTCTGTTTTTCTTTTCTTGTCTGTTTTTTTTTCTATGTAACCAGAGTGGACGGGGACCAATTTGCAATCAGAGTCACTTTCTTCTTCACTTCGCATACATGCAAACTGATGGCAATTCACACTGGCGCCAAGCGCCCACTCAAAGCTCAGGGATATGGAAACCGAGAACACAGTTCAGATGCAAACTCGCTTCAACAGGCTATGGCGCATCAGCGCCTGTACTTCCCAGCTCTGGTCACTGTGTCCAACACCATTGTTCGCACATACTCAACTCTAGATCATCCTGAATACCCCACACGCAGTCACTGTATCACACACTCGGTCACACACACTAACACTAGCTATGGCGGCTATGGCCGCCGGCTAATACTATTATAGCACACTGACTCCTTCTAGCCCACTTCGACCTCGGGCATCTGCCGACCACCTTGCACAAGACGCTTGGGCAGCGCTTCCTCAAGGCTCACGCAAGAATGAATGAATGGCTGGGCGCTGCCTCTTGATTTATACTTGTGTAAGTCGTTGGTCTGCCCCTTTTCCAACAGGCCCATGGTGCACACAGTCCCTCATGGTACTTGCTGACTGTGCAAAGTGAGACTGGGACTGGGTACCGCTGACTAAGCGAAGTTGGACTCACCACTTGCCCACTTGCCTCTGACTGAACTTGAGAAACTCTCGAAAGGCCACTTCCGGACCTTCCGGAAGTTTCTGGACTTGGCCTTTCGGGACTGTAGCAGCTACGACCTTGACCTTTCAGGACTGTAGCAGCTACGACCTTGACCTTTCAGAATGCCTATAGCTACGACCTCTACAAAGCTGTGACCCCTACTCGACAGACCTACAGATCGAATCCCTACATCTACACAGTCCTGCGACAGACAAACAACAACTAACGAAACACAGGTCACGGGTTCAAACACTCGGGGGTCAACTCGATACTGTACACGGGTAAGGTAAGGTCTGGGGATCGAACTCTAGGACCCGCATCTGTGACTGCAAAAAGGTGAAAATCAGAAAACCGTTTCAAATTGCCTGGCCGGGACAAAAATGAAAAAAAAAACAAAAAAATTGAAAAAACAAAAATAATAAAATATATTGCGTTTGACGTTAGGCTACCAGCCGGGCCGCGCGGGTCCCGGGTGGGCAGCCCATGCAAGGAGCGGGCAGGGAAGGTCCAAGCAAAAAAAAAAAAAATAAAAAAAATCCAAAAAAAACACTATGTTATGCAGAAAAATAAACTGAACAACTTTTGCCTCAGGGTCACATCAAAATTATTCACCAAATTTAAAATAAAAAATAAAATTTAAAATATATATGATGAGTCGGTGAAACTCCGACGAAACAGTTTGTCACAGCCCCTCGTTTGTTGTCCTCTTCTCTCTCTCTGCCTACAGTTTTACCGGGCAGTTCTGTTTGTGACGATATATATATATATATATTTTGGCCCGACCGGGCAAGTGACCCCGGGCCACTCTGGTAGCCTAGGTTCGCCGATATATATTTTTTATTTTTTATTTCTAATTTGGCAAAGAAGTTCAATGTGATCCTGAAGCGAGAAACAACAACAAAAAAAATCCAGCGAATCCGGTAGCGAAACTATTGCAAGGAAAATGAGAGATAGCGAGATGACAGAATCCAGATAGCACAATCACATTGAAAGCAAGAAAGTCCCAGTGTCCAGATAAGCAGCATTGCACCAATATTACACCAGTGGAGAATCGAAACACTGAAACCGAATGTCAATGAGAGCTTTACTCTCGTCCCCACCAACATACGTATCCAGGCCCTCTCTCCCTACTTGGCGCTCGGCGCCCAGGCTACTCCCTACACAGCTACTTCCTGCCTACGAGTTGACAATGCAACTGTTGACGTCAGCAGCCAGCCTAGTACTTGAAGATGTCGACCAATGCAGAGCGTCGCCAATACCAACCAGGTATGCGCCCTTACATCATCATCCTCATCTCTTTCACTCTCTCCCTATCCTTGTCTTCCTCCCACGTCTTCTCCCTTATGCACGAAGACCACCACCACCTCCACTGGCTGTCCAAGCCAAGCCCTGGCTATGTAGGGCTGGCTTTATGGAAAGTGCTCGCCCAGTTTGCTGACTGGCTGGGCCTCGTGTGTTTCCAGTAGCTTCTGATCGGGCCAAAGTGTCTGCGACTCTGCGACTCTGCGCCCGGGTCCATTCCGACAGTGGCCTGGGACCGAATTGGTTAGGCATGCCCAACCACCCAGGAGTAAACGTGAGGTCCTCCCTGCGTCGACTGTGCTGCTGGAAGAGCCCAAAAGGCTCATGACTTGTTTCTGATTCTCACGAGTATGGAGGATGTAACCAAGTGGCGCATGGCAACTGCCTGGCGCCCACCAAACTTTGCCCAAATTGACGAACTCAGGCTATATTGAAATTCAGGGGCCCGCCTTCATTTAGGGCGGGCTCATGCTTGCTGATAGGGCCTCACAAGGGCATGCCGGGGAGCCAACTCGTAACAAGGCGTCGTCGAAGATCCATGCCCACATGGGGGTTACAACAGGCTCTGCTTGGGGCCCTCAGCCTGGTCTCATAGCCCTATAAACAGGCATTGACACATATTTGCAGGCCCGCCTTCACTTAGGGCAGGCACGGCACTTCCAGACACTGCCGAGGGACTAAACCCTTGCACTATGTTGTGCACAAAAATAAACCCAGTGAAAAGTTGTTCAGTCTACTTCTCTGCACAACATAGTTTTGTTTGGATTTTTTTTTTTTAATTAATTTATTTATTTTTTCGTTGTTGTTGTTGTCCAGGGACCTGCCTCGGCTCTTGCCCGGCCGGGCCGCCTGGGGAACCACGCTGCGGCCCCGTTGGTAACAGAGTTTTTTTTTTTTTTTTTTTGTTGTTGAAATGTTTGTTGTGCTTTGGAGCCGAGAAGGATCTGACGGCGTCGATCATGTTTGTGTAGCAGAGCTGATGGCTCTAGATGTGGTTCTGAATATGAAGTTGGTTCCGATTTATTTAAAAATTAATGTTTCATTCAATCTCATATATGTCTGAGGAAAGAGTGAGGGTCCTTTTTAGCCTCGATTTATGTACTTCAAAAAACAAAATCTATTTTTAATTTTTTAGTATGTTACATTTTTTAGTAGCTTTGTTTTTATTTTAATTATGGTCAGGTTAAATTTACCAGGGATAGTTTGATTCGAATTTGTTTATGCATTTGCTTGACATAAATGCTATTGTTCTTTTTTGTTTTTTTTTTGTAATTTTTCTGTTTTCCTTTGCAGCCTACAGTGGAGTTGAGGAACTCCTACAAGTTTGACAATTACTTGATTTTGACGCGGGTTTTCGAGGACCAGAAAAACAAAAAACCGAAAAAGAAGAAAGGAGGGCAACATGAAGCCAAGGTGAGCGTCAAAAAAAAAAAAAAAAAAAAAAAGGCTACGATGATAGTGGACTGAGTGTTCATCGATATCGACAGCTAATGTCGATCATCTGTTCAATTTTATTTTGCATCTAATACGTTTGATTTTGTTTTGCAAATTTGGACCTAATACTTATGTCCATCTTTCTGATTTCAAAAGAATTGCTGGAAAGCTTATGATGACGAGTTTCTATTGCTGCCTGAGTTCCCCCCCCCCCCCCCCCACCCCCACCCCCCCCCCCCCCCCCCCCCCCCCCCCCCCCCCTTCCCCCCCCCCCCCCCCCAAACTGTAAATATCCTAACTCACATGCACCGACCTATGTTTTGTAATGTGAAAAAAAATCAGAAAAAGTACTTATGACCTGCGTAGCATCGTGTTCGCGTTCGGTGAACGAACCCGAAAGTTCGCGTTCGGTGAACGAACCTCAACGTTCGCGACTGAACGCCAATGAGCGCCAAAACCCTCTGAATGCGAACCTAGGCTACCAGGGTGGCCCGGGTCCACTTGCCCGGCCGGGCCAAAAAGATATAAAAAAATATAAAATATATATATTTGCGGGGATCTGGGTCCTTTGCAGGCCTAAGGGGCCCCTGTGCAGATGTGCCTGCCCTAAGTGAAGGCGGGCCTAACAAATCACGAGAGGCTGTATGCTGTCGATTTCATATTTGGGGTCCAAGCAGTTGTGACGCCCCAGTTGGCTGAGGGAAACCCAGGCAGAGCAGCAAAGAAAATTTCACGGCCTTCTGGCTTTTCAGAAAGTGCAGGCCCTGGGCGAGAATGGCAGCCTCATACACAGACAGTCGGGAGGCCCAACCGAACGAGGCCCAGCAGCTGCATCGGAGGCACAGCCGCCCGTGAAAATAGGGTGTCCCGGACAGCGCGGCTGGTAGCCAGGACGCGAACATAAAAGTACGTTTTTTTAAAATCTTGGAAAAAATCTAAAAAAACTATATGTCATGTAAAACAGGGTAACCGGCGTTCGGGACGGGCCGAACGCCCGAACCCAAACGCCCGAGCGCATGGGACCCCTTGGGGATGCTTCGGCCGTTTGGGCCGAACGTAGACCAAAAAAAAAAAAAAAAAAAAAAAATCAAAAAAATCAAAAGATATGTTATGAGGAAAAATAAATTAAACCAATGTCAATGAGAGCTTGCTCTCGCCACCACCAACATGAGTAGCCAGGCCCTATCTCCCTACTTGGCGCTCGGCGCCCAGCCTACTTCCTACACAGCTACAGTCTGCCTACTAATTGACAATGCAGCCCACGAAGTACTTGAAGATGTCGCCCAATGCAGACCATCGCCAATACCAGGTATGTGCCCTCACATCATCATCATCATCATCATCCTTCTCTCTCTCCCCTGATTTACTCCCACGTCTTCCCTCTACGCACCCGAAGACCACCCCTGCGCCTCACTGTAGTCCAAGCCCATCCAGCTATGGAGGCTGGGCTATGCCGCTGCCCTCAGCAGCGCCCTGCTCCCTGCACGACTGCACGCGCTAGCACCTTGCCTCTCAACGCCAGCAGCAGCCCACGAGGGTCCGCTCCAGCAGCGCTGCCGCCAGCATGCAAGTGCTGAATGAGAGTACAGGCAGCGAGCTCTTTCCTTTATGGAATGAGCCTCGCTGCTCTGGCAGCCTGACTGGCCTGGGCCTCTGCCCAGAAGCTTCCGGTAGGCCCCAGGAGGCTGTGCCTCCGATGCAGCTGCTGGGCCTCGTTCGGTTGGGCCTCCCGACTGTCTGTGTATGGACGGACGTATCTGGCTATATTCTTTTGAAACTTGATAGTTAATTTGACTGTATGTGTCATGTGCTCATGAAAACCTCTTCTCTGTGCAGAGACAAAAGCTCAATGACGACGCAACCAGTGGGGAACTAATCTACATCAAGCCGGAAGACGAAGTCTTTCACAAGGTATATTTTATTGTTTTTAAATATCCCTGACTCTAAAAAAGTGAAAAAAAAAAAGAAAAAAAAAAAAGGTAACCCTGAGACTGCGAAAGAGTTGAAAAGACCCATAAAAAAAGAAAAAGAAAAAGAAGGGAACCCTGAGACTGCAAAAGCTGCCCTGATAGATCTG